GGAAAGAGAAAGCAAGCCACAGAGTCCGGGACTTGAACCACTTGTCAGCCACGTGGGAATCTGGCATCTAAACCACTATGCCATGTGCCAGTCCCCCTCCCTGCTCTTTCTCAAATTTCATTTCATGTCCTTGTCAGTCCTTGCCAGTTCTCCATGTGCATCCTCTGAAAAAAACTTTGGGCCCTTCTCTGCATTTGTTTCCTTGAAAGGTGAGACAGAGCACTAGTTGTGCATGGCATGCAATACTGGTGCCATTTAGTGTCTATTCAATGCCCTTTTCCCAAAGAACAACTTTTTTTTTTTCTCCAGAGGTTTTTGCCATAGGGCATGTGGGCTCGCAAAGGAGAGACAGAGACAGTGAGAGGGAAAGTGAGAAATCATCCACCGGTGGGTGGCCACACCACAATCATTTCTTCTCTGTTTTCCTCCTGGGATCTTGGGCATGCTGGCATACAAGCCCAGCCTGATGTTCAAGCCTCCGAGTCCAGGACTCTAACTGGTCAGCCATGACCTCCAGCCACCACACCATCTGCTGGTGCTGAATCCTTTCCTTTCCTTTCCTTTCCTTTCCTTTCCTTTCCTTTCCTTTCCTTTCCTTTCCTTTCCTTTCTTTCCTCCCTCCCTCCCTTCCTTCCTTTCTTCCTAATTATTGGGATCAGCAGTTGGCATAATGGCTATGTTGCTGGACTCCCACGTATTTGACCGCAGTTCAAGTCTCTGACCCGGTAGCTTTAACTCACGCCAGGCGCGCATGCGTGCGTGCCCAAGATCCCAAGAGGGGAATGGAGGAGAAGGGATTGTGGCGTGGTCATCCCCTCGCTTTCTATCTCTCTAACTCTGTCTTTCTGGTGAGTGCACGCGCCCTATATAAAAAATCTCTCTCAAAAAAAAAGAAAAAAAGAATTATTTAACTTTGTTTTTTTATTTTAATTTGACCAGAGAGGGACAGAGAGAGAGAGAGAGATGGAAAGTGAGAAAGCAAGCCACCAGGTCTGGGACTCAAACCATGGCCATGTGGGAGTCCAGCGCCCTTAATCAGCATGCTACCTGTTGGCCCCTGTTGCTGTATTTTCTTACATTTAGTTTTAAATATTTTGGTTAAAATTTGTAAGTAAGAATTTGTAATATTTCTATCTGCCAAGTGTAAGTTCCAAAAGGGTTGAAAATTAAGGGCAGTCCTGGCTTGGAGTTTTGCTGTATTTCATTTCATACCTATTATAGTGATATAATGGTAATTCCCCAAATGCCTCTCAAATTTTTTCTGAAAGGCCATCTAGATTGGTTATTGAAGCAGTGCTGCTAACATCCTTTCCCTTTCACACCATTTCCATCCCTTTTCTTCCCCTTCTCCAGTTCTTTGGAAATTTGTGATCAGGGGCATCTTAGTTACTGTTTTAACTCTCTTGTGTGCTGCGGGCACTGGAATAGAGATTTCTGAAAAACCAGTTTATTTCATCTTGCCTTTCCTGTTTGAGTTATTTTTAATATTTTCCTGTAAATATTTTGTAATATTTTACTTGTAGTGAAATGGATCACAGTATCATTTCCTAAGACAAAGGCAGGATATGTGGGAAGAAAATGTGCAATTCTTTGATTAAAATTATTTCCCACTGACCTAAACTTTGAGTGTATCATGGAAAAAATAAATAAATGTAAAAAAAAAAAAAGGCCATCCCTGTAGTGCAGTGGTTAAAAGCTGTACATTGGGAGACAGATCCCACATGACTGACCTCAGCTCCAATCCCAGGCCAGAGGCTGGAAAAACATGCTGGGTATATATGTGTATATGTCCAGAATCATGATGGGATGGAGAAATGGAGGAAAAAGTACTCAGCATGACTATGCCTCACAGGGAGTTCCCTCTCTCTCTGTCTCTTGTACAGCATCCGCAAAAAAATTTTTGAGAACTAATTAGTTAAATACTACTGAATTGTTAGTTTTCACTCCCCCCCCCCGCCCCCTTAGGGTATGTGTATTCGCCTGAGAGAGACAGAGAGAGGGAAAGTGAGAAACCATCTCCCCAGCAGGGATGGCCATGCCACAGTCCCTTCTTCACTCTCCTTTCAGGACTTTGGACATAGACACACACATGCCCAGTGTGATTTTCAGGTTGCAGGATTTGGGACTCAAACTGCAGTCGGCCATATGGGAATCAGATGCCTTAACCACTTTGCCACCTTCTAGTCCCTTCACTCATTTTGTAACCTCCAGTTTTGGGTACCTCATTACAGCCAGACTTGTGGGAATCAGCTGCTTTCTCTTATGTTTATTTTTTCTTATTTATAAATGGAAGCTAGAAGTGATTCGAAATTAAGGTCAAATGGCAAATTATTGCCTAACTCAGTTCTTATTGCACACAGCATCTGCTTTCTGGTGAGAAAAGTAGGCAGCTACCTACTTAAAAGATTCGAGAGGTGCTAAAGACGCCTTCCTACTCCACATGAATTATTAAGTCTCGATAACCCCCCCAAGGACCTCCTTGAACAGACACATCATGTTCAACTCACTTAAGGTACAGGGTTATCTGAGAGGGATTATTTGTTAGCTAGCTAATTAGTCTGTCACAGAAGCCACCTTTCTCTAGTATTATCTGGAAATATAGGAAGAGCTTGAAAGAATGACACCTAGAATGCTATGGTTTGATTCATTCAGGGAATTGGGTAGGGAAGATATTAGTGAAGTTAGGAGTTGAGGGAAGGAAAAATCCAGAACTTAAAACACCATTAAAAATTTTGGACACCATAAAGATTTTGAGAAGTAAAGTTCTCCAGACGGGAAGGTTTTAAAAAGAAGAGCAAATGAGAGTTAATGTTTAATAGGTCAGTGTTTCAGTTGGGGAAGATGAAAAAGTTCTGGAGATAGATGATAGTGATAGCTACAAAAAAGTGTGACTTAATGACACAAAACTGTACTCTTAAAAAATGGTTAAAAATGGGGAACCATCAGTTAGCATAATGGCTATGTCGCTGGACTCCCACATAGTCGACTGCGGTTTGCATCCCAGACCCAGTGGCTTAAAACTCACACTGGGCGCGTGTGCATGCGTGCCTAAGATCCCGAGAGGAGAATGGAGGAGAAGGGATTGTGGCATGACCATCCCCCCGGGGGTGATTTCTTGCTTTCTGTCTCTATGTCTCTCTCTGTCTGGCAAGCACACGCGCCCTATATCCAAAACCTCTCCAAAAAAAAGAAAAAAAAAATGGTTAAAAATGGAGGGCAGTGGGGCCAGCAGGTGGCATGGTGGTTAGGGCTCTGGACTTCCACATGGCTGACAGCAGTTCGAGTTCCAGACCTAGTAGCTTGCTGTCTCATTTTCCCTCTCTCTCTGTCTTTCTCTAGTAAAATTAAAAAATAATAAAAATAAATTAATTCTTTTTTAAAAAATGTAGAGAGCAACAGGTGGTATGGTGGTTAAGGCACTGGATCCCACATAGTTGATGCCACAGATTCAGTCTTGGACACAGTGTCCTGAAAAACATGCCAGATGGACGTTCATGCATGCCCAAGATCCTGATTGGAGAATAGAGAAGGGATTGAGGTATTTGCAGTATGGCCACCCCCGCCTCAGGGGGTATGACTTCTCACTTTTCTCCTCTCAGTCTCTATCCAGGATGACATGCACTATATGGCAACAGTCTTCCCCCCAAAAAAGGTTAAAATGGCAAATTTTATGTAATGCAAATTAAACACATTCTAGAAAAGTTATGAGGGAAATGAAAGCAGACAAGACTGATTTCACTAATCCTTTACTTTAGACAGTAGGACAGCTTCCAAGATGGCCCCAGTGATACTGACCTCTTGGTATTTATGCTGCCATGTTGTCCCCTCACATACTGAATGGGGTTAACCTGTGTAACAAGTAGGATATGGCAATGACCTTCCAAGCCTAGGTCGTAAAAAACGTTGCAGCTTCCAGGGGCTTTTCTCTTGGGTTCCTTGCTCTGGAAGAAATGAGCTGCTGTGTTGTGAAGATACTTAACCCAAGAAGTAGTCTAGTGATGAGGAACTAAGGCCCCCAACCAACAGCCAGCATTAAATTGCCAATCATGGGAGGAGCTACCTAGGAAACAGATCTTCTAGCAGCCCTGCCTACATCTAGTTGGCATTTTCACAAGGAAGCCTGAACCAGAACACCCAACTAAACTAATCCCAAATTCCTGACCACAAAAACTGTGAGCTAACAGTTATTGTTTTAAGCTATTATGTTTTGAGATAATTTATTACACAGAAATTGATAATGAATGAAGTAGTATGGCCCGAGGTCAGTGGCATTTTCAGTCATTTATTTAGTTCTCTTTGTTTCTGGATTATATCATGACTACTAAAATATATTTTGTGACTTAGTTTAGATGGCAGCTGTATTTACCTTTACATGCTTTCAATACCAAATGAGTATCTTTCAGACCCAGTGGCTTAAAACTCATGCCAGGTGCATGTGCATGCCTGCCCAAAATCCCCAGAGGAGAATGGAGATGAAGAGATTGTTGGCGTGGTCATCCCGCCCAGGGGGTTATTTCTCACTTTCTCTCTGTCTGTCTCTCCAGCAAGGTATATGCGCCCTAAAGCAAAAATCTCTCAAAAAAAACCCCAAGTGTCTTAAAAATATTTCTCGAGGTGAGAGGGACATTGCTCAGTTTCAAATAGTTAAGGGTAGGAAGTGTAATTACTAATAAAACACGAGGGGGCTCCAAAAAGTTTATGGAAAATGCAAATTCTAAAAAAATTTATGCATAATTTTTGCACCAAAATAAATTCATATATTATTTTTTTCTACACACTTAAAAAAATTTAAAGAATTATTTATTTAATTTTATTTATTCATTCATTTATTTTAATTTGACCAGAGAGAGAGACAGAGAGAGAGAGGGAAAGCGAGAAAGCAAACCGCCAGGTCCAGGACTCGAACCGTGGTCAGCTATGTGGTAGTGTCCAGTGCCTTTAACCACCATGTCACCTGCTGGTCCCTACAAACATTTCTTTTAAGGGAGAGATTTTTGCTATAGGTTGTGTGTGCTTACAGAAAGTGCGAAATCACCCCCAGGGAGATAGTCACGCTGCAATCCCTTCTCCTCCATTCTCCTCTCTGGATTTTGGGCAGGCATGCACACATGCCTGACATGAGTTTTAAGCTGCCAGGTCCAGGACTTGAACTGCATCGATTATGTGAGAGTCCAGTGATGTAACCATTATGCCCTCTGCTGGTCCCTCCACAAACTTTTTAATGTCCTGTTGTATACCATGTCATATATTGTGAATGCCTTATCTTTAATTCTGTACAGGGGCCTGCCCATGGCCTGGGGGTTGAGGCATCTGAATCCCACATGGCCAACAGCACAGTTTGAGTCCTATACCTTGTAGCTTGGGGAACACGATAGGCATGTGTGTGTGCGTGCCCAGGGTCCTGACGGAAGCAATGGAGGAGTAGGGATTGTGGCATGACCCATTCCCCATGGAGGGGTGCTTTCTCACCTTCTCTGTCTATCTCTATCGAGTGCCTGTGCCCTCTGGCAATTTTTTAAAAAATGTGTATCTGGATAAAATTCCTAAAAACCTGAAGGAAGGCAAGTAGTTTAAATCATCTCACTCCTTAACATTTGTCAACTCCCTTTAAACATAACATATGTATTTTTAAGAGAGGAGATAAAGGATCAAATAAATAAAGCTAACTTAAAAACTAGTTTAGGGCTAAGTCCTTTTCTCTTGGCTCCATGTCTATGCGTACCTAAAATGATAATGTCTTCATCTCCGAGTCTCCAGTCTTTCAACCCCAGCTTGACGACCTGCGGTGCCTCTTCCAGTTGCTCCAACAGGCGAGGCAGGTTGTCTCGTGCGCCGTGGCACCAGGGGAGCATCAGTGCAGTCAACTGCTCCAGCACGTTCAGCCTGTCGACTTGAAGATAAAGAGAGCAGTTGAGGAACTGCACCGTCTCAAATTTGGTGAAGGATGAAGGGATGTGGGGGAAGGGACGATCAGTTTGGTAGCTCTGCAGAGTACTCAATCTGCAATGAGAATCTTCTTGTTTTGGGTTATCTTTATGGAAAGTAGTAAGTACATATAAACATTATGGGGAATAGGATAATGAAACTGTGTACTAATCAGCCAGATTTAGACAAACATCCAATCATGGGTAATCTTGCTTAATCCTGACCTAGTTCCTCTTGTATTATTATTATTTTTTTTCTTTTTCTTTTTTTTTTTTTTTGGAGAGGTTTTGGTATAAGGCACATGCGCTCGCCAGATAGACAGAGAGAGACATAGAGACAGAAAGCAAGAAATCACCCCCCGGGGGGATGGTCACCCCGCAATCCCTTCTCCTCCATTCTCCTCTCGGGATCTTGGGCACGCATGCACACGCGCCCAGTGTGAGTTTTAAGCCACCGGGTCTGGAACTCGAACCACAGTCGACTATGTGGGAGTTCAGCGACATAGCCATTACGCTAACTGTTCCCCTCTTGTATTATTTTGAAGCAAATTCCAGACAGTATGTATCCAGTCTTAACCACATGTCATCATGACACTAAAAAATCTTATCAACTACACAGATTTGCTTTGAGCCTTAGCTACTCTCAGATACTAGCTTCCTTGAAGGAGCCAAGCAGGAGGGAGCCTCAAGTGCAATGATTGGTGGCTCAAAAGACATGGGCCTGGATTCCTTACGAGCAGTTCAAGAAAGGGCTACACGGGGCCAGTGGGTGGCACAGCAGTAACACAACGCTCTGTGATGCTGGAGCCACACGAGACGGTAAAGAGACCTCAGGACTCAGGATATATTTTCCTGACTGCCCAGTATACATATTTAAGTATCATATTTTGTCTGAATTTCATTCTTACTCAGTTCATGTAGAGCTTTATTTCCATCTTCCAGGTGGTTTTCTGATAAATCGAGAACATTCAGTTTGACCAAATTGTGAAGATTCTGAGCTGGAAAAAAGTTTAATTCAAGATAAAAAGAATTTCAGGTAATTATATATGCATTTTTAAATGTCCTTGGAAGTATGAGTCCTTGTCTTCTTTGTTGATGGTAATACAAACTGTCATTTGACTTGATTAATTATTCCCAAAGGTACTTGGATATCCCGAGTCCCATGGTTATGAACAAATGGGCAGATATTTCCTAGCCCAAGGTTCTGATTAATAATCTCAGGTTGGGTTAGCCCTTGCCCTGGTGTTTATGAGAGCTGGAACTAGCTTGGCCAACTACATGGTTTGAGTCCCAAACCTGACAGCTTGAAAAACTCACCTGGCCCACATACATCTATGTGTGCCCAAAATCCCTAAAGGAGAGAGAAGTGAAGGGGAAAGGATTGCAGTGTGACCATTCCCCATGGGAGGTGCTTTCTCGCTTTTCCTCTCTGTCTCTAGTGAGGGCACACACCCTCTGGCAAATTGAAAAAAAAAAAAAAAAATCCTATGATATAGGAAGGTTCTGCGTCAGAGTCTGAAGACCCTCTAGATATGCCAGGTGTGTGCATGCCCATGATCAGAAGTAGGTTGAGAATGGGAGTGGATAGCAGTAATGAAGACCGCATTGGGGGTGCCTGTCTCTCTCTCTTTCTTTTTCTCTGTTGCTCATGGAAGAAAGACACTCTAAAAAAAATATTTATAAGGCAGTAATTACATGACAGATAGCTAACAAGTTTTTTTTTTTTTGAGTTGTGTAGCCCTTTTTAGCAACTAAAATAGAAGGTATCTGTTGTACAACACGGGTAGTAATTGACTATAACTGGAGATTTATTATATTCTAATACAGATCATTTATAAATGCAATTTCTTTATTAAAAAGCTTCCACCCATTTTTTTTTTGTTTGTTTGTGTACAATTTGCAAAACTATTCTGAAAGCGGAATATATGTGCACAAGTCTGCAAAGAGTGCAAATTTAGGATATGGTAAATGCTTTACGAGTTACTTTCAAACAACTGTCTGCGGCGACTGGGCCTTTACATTGTCATCTTTTTTGATCAAAATATTTTGATGCCAGCCTTCCTTCCACTGCCCTAAACTATAAAGCATTTTTTAATGAGTTGAAATTAGGGAAGGACTACACCTACTAGAAAAGAAGAGAAGAAAGTTCTATTAGTTGGAGGTTTCAGATCCCCCCAAACCAGGACCAGTATCTTGGTAAAGGCTAGGCTGGGACCCCGGACAGAGTATGAGTATGTGCAGGTGGCATCCCTGAGGATTCAGAGCTTCAGTGGACCGTGAGTGCTCCGGCTGCGTAACTCACTGAACTGTCTTGCCAGTTTCTACACTGGCTTGACTGGGCATAATTCAAAAAGGAAAAGCTCATATTCATTCCATTCTCCTGGAGCTCTGTGATAGCATTTAATAACACCCTAATGGGATGTCTTCCACATATAGTATTATGGTATTTCTTCAAGTAATTGCTAAAAGATACAGGGTCTAATTGTTCTATAATACTCATACCCATTTTATCTAGATGTTCAGTGGATCTATAAATCTCCCCCTGGAATTCATCATAGTAACTGTAACGGAACCTTTGACCTGAAACTTATCCTTTCAGAAGGTACACTGGGAAAATGGATTCTTTGAGCCGCTGTTTCAACTCCAAGTATGAGCTTTCTAGCTTTCAGATAGCTAACAAGTTTAAAGGATCTATCTATCTGTTTTGCCAGGGGTTGTGTGAACTTGTCCAAGAGCCAGGAAGGGGAGAAAGCACTCTCCACGGGGAATGGTCACACTGCAGTCTTTTTTCCATCTCTTCCTCCTTTTACGACTTTGGGTGTGCACCCATGTGCACCTGGTGTGTTTCTCAAGCTGCCAGATTCAGGGCTCAGACAGCATGGTTGATCACATGGGAGCTGGCTGCCTTCACCACCACACCACAGAACCAGCCCCCATTTCTTATTTTCTTTCTTTTCCCTTTAAAGTTGTAACACCTTCAGTTGTTCTGAAATTCACTTTTAATTTCAATCATGCAGAAAATGTATTAAAAACAGGCTGGATATTACTGACAAGGCTTTATTACCTTTTCCAGTTTCTCTTAAAATTAAATTTCCACTTCCCAGATTTAGCATGCATTAGTTTAAAGTATCACAGGATCTGTTACCACTGGTCTCCTTTGGTTAATGGAAGCATTAAAACCCAGTTACCTAGGGTTTTCACAGCATTTGCAGACAGGCAGCAGGAGACTAATTGGATTTCTTCAAGGTCACAGGGTTCCCTTGATAAAGACCTGATTATGTAATCCATTCCCTCCCCGATGTCAGACAAGCGAGTCAAACAAAACAAACACATCTTTCTCAGGTTTTTCAAACCCTCAGCTGCAAAAAATTAAAAAGAAATCAGTTAGGATACCAAGTTAATTTGATAAACATGAATCAATGGACTGAAAAGAAAGCAAAGGACAATTGTACAGATGCCTTTCTATGCTCATTCTGGAGAGACTTCAAGTTACAAAGAGTCACAGAGAGTTATTTTTCTTTCAAGTCTTATTTTCCAGTCTCCTGGACCACACAAAGGTCAGTTATGTGGAGGTCATTTTCTTAGTAGCATGAAAAAAAGCTATAGTGACTATGTAGTATTTTTAATATGTATTAATGTATACCCTTTTTAAAAAAGAATTATTTATTTTAATTTTATTTATTATTATTATTATTTAATTTTATCTGAGAGAGAGGAAAAGTGAGAAAGCAAGGCACAAGATCTGGGATTTGAACTATGATTGGCCATATGAGAGTTCAATGCTTTAGCCACCACACCATCTGGTGGCTCCCAATGTGAATAATTCTTTTGTGAATGAAGACTTCTGGGAGCATGGTCCTTTAAATTCCCTCAGAAATCTTAGGGTTTGGTTGAGTTCAAAGGGGTAGCAAGGGGACTTTGGTTTCTTAGAATGCTTCTGGTGAGCTATCTACAGCCTCAAAGAGCCCTGCTTGGGACTGCGTAGTATGGGGCCCACCCGATGCTTTATAGTGAAGGCCATATCCAATGCAGCATGTTTAACCAGGAGAAAGATTTCTCTTGTAGTAATAGTACAATTGAAAACATCCAGGGACAGCCAGGTGACATGGTAGTTAAAGAAGCTAGATCTCACATGGTTGATTACACCAGTTAAATCCTGAAGATGATGGCTTGAAAAACACAGTGGGTGAATGTGTGTGTGTGTGTGTGTGTGTGTGTGTGTGTGTGCCCAAGGTTCTGAAAGGAAATTGGAGAAAAAGGGATTGTGATGTGGTCAAGCCTTCGGGGCGGGCGGACTTTCTCACTTTCTCTCGCTCTGTCTCGCTTTCTCTCTCCCCCTCCTTGGAGGACACACACACCCCTATGGCAAATTAAAAAAAAAAAAAAATGGGGGGGGCGGATCCCAACATGTCCCTCATCCCTACACCTAAAGCTAATGTGGGGGCTGGCAGTTAGTATGGTGGGTTGAGGGTGCTGGACTCCCACATGACTGACAGTGATTTGAGTCTCAGACCTGGTACTTGCTTTCTCACTTTCCCTCTTTCTCTTTCTGTCCCTCTCTGGTTAAATTAAAATAAATAAAGTTAAATAAAATATTTTTTTGGGGGGAGAGGTTTATGCTATAGGGCGCGTGCACTCGCCAGACAGACAGAGAGAGACAGAGAGACAGAAAGCGAGAAATCACCCCCCGGGGGGATGACCATGCCGCAATCCCTTCTCCTCCGTTCGCCTCTCGGGATCTTGGCCACGCACACACACATACCTGACGTGAATTCAAGCCACCGGGTCCGGGACTCGAACCGCGGTCGACTATGTGGGAGTCCAGCGACATAGCCATTATGCTAATTGCTGGTCCCCAAAATAATTCGTTAAATAAATAAATAAAGCTAATGTGGAGGAATGGCTGAATGTACCTTTGTGTCATTAAAGTATTTCTTTATCTTGATAGTATTCTAGCCTACAAGAAAGAACTATATGGTGTTGGACAGGTAGGTGGCATGGTGATCAGAGCACTTTCTCTCTGTCTCTCTCTGATGAGCCCACATACTCTATAGAGAATTTAAAATAATAATAATAATTGGGATCAGCAAATGGCGTAATGGTTATATCACTAGACTCCCACATAGTCAACCCTGGTTAGAATCCCAAACCTGGTGGCTTAAAACTCACGCTGGGTCCCTGTGCGTTCATGCCCAAGATCCTGAGAGGAAAATGGAGGGGAATGGGTTGTGGTGTGGCCATCTCCACTGGGGGTGATTTCTCACTTTTCTTACTTTCTGTCTCTCTGACTTTCTCTGTATCTCTGGCACACACCATACAGCAAAAAATCTCTTTTAAAAATGTAATAATAGGGGCTGGCAGGTGGCATGGTGGTTAAGGCACTGGGCTCTCACATGGCCAATCGTGGTTCTAGTCACAGACCTAGAGGCTTATTTTTTCACACTTTCTCTCTCTCTCCTTTCTCTCTCTCTCTGTCACTCTGTCCCTCTCTGGTCAAATTAAAATAAATACATAAGGGACCAGCAGTTTGCATAATGGCTATGTCGCTGGACTCCCACGTAGTCGACCGCGGTTCGAGTCCCGGACCCGGTGGCTTAAACTCACGCTGGGTGCGTGCGCGTGCGTGCCCAAGATCCCAAGAGGAGAATGTAGGAGAAGGGATTGCGGCGTGGCCATTCCCCCTGGGGGGTGATTTCTCGCTTTCTGTCTCTCTGTCTCTGTCTGTCTCGAGGGCCTGCGCCCCATAGGAAAAACCCCTAAAAAAAAAAACACAAAAACATAAATAAATACATAAATAAAGTTGAATAAAATAATTCTGTTTTTAAAATATAATAATAAATAAAATTAAAATATTCTTAAAAATAGCTATATGGTATTAATAATAACTTTCAGAGCTTTCGGAAAGTCATAGATAATGTAAGCAAAGTGTTTAGTGTGGTGTCGGGCACATAGTTAGTCCTCAGTACATGTCAGTTATTGTCATGGGGTTGCATATAGCTTAAAGGTTGCGAACATGAATTTTACAACCAGTCTAATTCCTGGATCTCCTACATAATAATTGTGTAAACATGGACAAGTTAGTTATTCAACCTTTTAGCTGTAGCTTTAGAGATCATTATATCTATGTATTAAGACTATAGTGAGGATTCAATGAGATGAAGTATATAAAGTGCCTAGTACAGTGTTTGATTTTTGTACAGTAATTCTTTTTTTGTTCGTTCGTTTTTTTTTTTTTTGAAGAAGTTTTTTTTTTTTTTTGCTATAGGGCACACGCGCTCGCCAGAAAGACAGAGAGAGACAGAGAGATAGAAAGCAAGAAATCACCCCCCAGGGGGGATGGCCACACTGTAGTCCCTTCTCCTCCATTCTCCTCTCAGGATCTTGGGCATGCACGCACATGCACCTGGCGTGAGTTTAAGCTACAGAGTCCAGGATTTGAACTGTGGTTGGCTACATGGGAGTTCAGCGACATAGCCATTATGCTAACTGCTGGTTCCTGCACAGTAACTCTTTTTAAAAAATAGTAAATTATGACTTATAATTAGTCTGGTTTATAGGACCAGCAGATAGCATAATGGTTATGTTGCTGGATTCCCACATGGCCAATCGTAGTTCGAGTTTTGGACCCAGTGGCTCAAACTCATGCTGGACACATGTGCATGCTTGCCCAAAATCCCAAGAGAAGAAAGGAAGAAAAGGGATTGGGTGTGGCCATCCCTCCAGGGAGTGATTTCTTGCTTTGTCTCTCCAGCGAGCACACATGCCCTATAACAAAAATCTCTCTTTAAAAAAAAAAAAGAAAAGAATTAGACTGGTTTATTCAAGTTAAAGTTTTGATTCCTTGATAGTAGAACCAAGTTGTCTTGAGAGATTCTTTTGATCCCTTTCTACCAGTCGCTGAGACTTTGGGCAAGTCAATAAACCATAGGTTCCAGTGGAATTTTCTATAAAATGAATGGGTTGAACTAGATGCTCTCAGGATCCTTCCAGCTCTGATAGTTTGTGTAATTCATAGGCATACAATAAGTGTGTATTGAACACTGAATTAATTTGACTGTTCTCATGCAGGCTCTACAAGGAAAAAGAGATCAGCCTTGTTTTAATTATAGGATAGAGCTGTCTTTTGGCAGGAAGCAGAATGGAAAAGAATGAAGTTGAAGGAATAAAGAAGCATTTTACAGAGGGAATGCTCATTAACTGAAGCATTGGGGGTAAGTGGGGGTGGGGGGGTGGAAAGCAGGGACACTGGAGGAAAGTAGCTTCAACAGGAAACCTATGTTGGAAGGCCTGACTCCCTGTCATAATCTGTGTTCTGCTTGTATTTCTGACATTTTCTTGATCCACATTTTTTCCTTGCATTCCATTTCATTCATAATTTTTTACCTAATTATGAATCTAACAGTATAAACAGCAAAACATTAAAAACAGGAACCAGTAGTTAGTGTAATGGCTATGTCGCTGGACTCCCATGTAGTCGACCGGGGTTCGAGTCCTGGACCCGGTAGCTTAAACTCACGCCAGGTGTGTGTGTGTGCGTGCCCAAGATCCTGAGAGGAGAATGGAGGAGAAGGGATTGCGGCGTGGCCATCTCCCCAGGAGGTGATTTCTCTCTTTCTGTCTCTTTATCTCTCTCTGTCTCTCTGGTGAGCGCACGCACCCTACAGCAAAAACAAAACAAAACAAAACAAAAAAACTCTCCCCCCCAAAAAAAAATTAAAAACATGTCATGACTTCAACACTCAAAATATTACAGTCAAGTGGTATACCATTTGAATAAAATGATGTTGAAGAACTGTAATGAGAGTGCGTGAAATGTCTAGGGAAACCAATGTACTCACATAAAGGTAAAAACCTACTGGTCAAGGGGCCAGGTGGTGGCACAGTGGAATGCAGCTGGACTCAGGGAAAGTCTTAGGTTTGTGTCCTGGGACCTGCCTGAGCACAGGCACGTGTGTGCATGTACCCATGAGCTGGCTGGCTGAGGCTCAGGGAGGATCATGGCATAAGGACCGTCGTGCAGGTGTCTGTCTATATTTCTTCTTCTCTATTTCTGAATAAATAAATACAATAATTTCTTGTTTGTTTCTTAAGAGAGATTTTTGCTGTAGGGCACATGTGCTTGCCAGAGGGAGAGAGAGAGACAGAGAAACAGAAAGCAGAAATCACCCCCCAGGGGATGGCTATTCTACAATCCTTTCTCCTCCATTCTCCTCTCAGGATCTTGGGCACATGCGCACAAGTATCTGGTGTGAGTTTTAAGACACCGAGTCTGGGACTCTAACCAAGGTAGACTATGTGGGAATCCAGCAAAGTAACCATTGAAAACCATTGAACCATCTGCTGGTCCCAATACAATAAAGTTGTTTGTTTTGTTTGTTTGTTTGTTTGTTTGTTTGTTTTGAGAGAGGTTTTTGCTATAGGGCACGTGTGCTTGCCAGAAAGACAGAGAGAGACAGAGAGACTGAAAGCAAGAAATCACGCCCCAGGGGGAATGACCATGCTGCAATCCCTTCTCCCCCATTCTCCTCTTGGGATCTTGGGCACGCATGCACATGCGCTAGGCATGAGTTTAAGCCACTGGATCCAGGACTTGAACCACAGTCGACTACATGGGCGTCCAGCAACAGCGCCATTAC